CAGCTTGAATGTTGGGATTGGTCTGAGACATTGTGTTTGGTGCTAGGCTGGCAGCTCTCCAGAGTTCACTGGGTAGGTCCCGCTCTTGTGTCTTGGAGAGAGCCAAGAGCTGCTCTGTGTGCTTTAAAGTCACAGGGAGGCTAAGGCCTCAATTTAGCCCCCTTATCTATCCAGATTACCTTACCCCTTGAGCAGTGGGAATCAATCCCTAAGGGTAGGTCTACACAGCAACTGGACAAGCATTGGGCAACCAAGGCTAGTGAGTGGGCTGCAAGAAGATTGTCTCTGGGGAGAGGGGAGTTTTGCTACCTGTGCTGGTGTATCTAGAATGTGTGGGGCGAGCCAATTGAACCGTAGCAGCGCTTTGATCAACGGCAGAGGGGGCAGGGCGCCCAGCTCTCACAGTCAGTGTTGGGTGCAATCAGCCTGCACCTCACTTTACGGCTCCTGGCTTTCTGTGAATGTCGCTTTAGTAATACAAGGAGGAAAAAACCACGACGTGGATAGAAACCAGCAGAATGTGGCAACCCTGTGTGTGGGCAACACTAAACAAAATGTCTGATGGGCCACACTTAGAACGCCAATGGGCCGCTTGCAGCCAGTGGACTGCAAGTTACCTACCACTAAACCTGTGCCAACTGATTCAGGCTTGAGGGCCTACAAGCAGTTTCATGGCTGGAGGCCTGTGCTCTGGGACCCTCCCACCTCACACGGTCCTAGAACTCACCTTCAGCAAGTGTCTAACTGCCATAGAACAGTGTTTCTTAAACTTTTTAAGACTGAGAAACACCAAACAATAATTTTTTTTATGAGGAACACCAAGGATTTTTTTGTTGAGCCAAAAAAAAAAAAAAGGGTTGCCAGCTTCTTTAATGGTGGCCATTTTGAATTCTGTTGTTCTTTGCAGCACACCGGTGTGCTACGGAGCACAGTTTAAGAAACACTGCCATAGAATCATAGAGCACTAGAACTGGAAGGGCCCTCAAGAGGTCATCAAGTCCAGTCCCCTGCCCTCACGGCAAGACCAAGCACCATCTAGATCATCCCTGATACATGCCTGTCTAACCTGCTCTTAAGTATCTCCAGTGAAGGAGATTCCACAACTTCCCTAGACAATTTATTCCAGTGTTTAACCATGTAGACGTCCCCCTCCAGATGACCAAAATCTTGATCACACCCTGCCCATTGCTGAGTGCCTTCAACTCACATTGAGAGAAGAGGATGCTCATGTCAAGCCCTTTGTGGGCTAATTTCAGGTAAGGCATTTTGATATGCTTTGCCTCTGCCGGCTGCCGCTTGGCAATGCGAAAGGTTGCCTTTTGTTCTAATTAGGGAGGGTAGGAAATGACTTCTTAGTGTCTGCGTTTGCCTGTATTTACCTCCTAATGATGCCCAGTGCCATTTTCAAATGGAAATGTTGACAAGCTGTAAAATATACAGTTTCAGAATTTTCCCTCAGGGCTGAAGTCAGGATAAATATGGTTATTGATAATGATGGGACAGGCTCCTTTTGCTGCAGAGACATGACATTATGTTGACAGCTACGTAGCTTGTTTAGAATATGGGAAGGTAACCAGCAGACACTCAGAGATGGCTTGTTTTAGGAGACTTACTAATAATCACTTTAAAAACTCAGTGTCAGGTGATGAGTTGGAAGCAACTCATTGCAGTAGGTCGGTAGAGAGGTGGTTTTAAACATACCTTTTTTCTGGTTAGGGTCTCCGCTGGTTATGAATTTGTTTTCATGTGATAGAATCAAGCCACATCACCTTGATGTGCGTTTCAAATGTGTCAAGGACCCATCATCCTGAGTCTCTCTAGAGGATTGAGCCTCAGCCCTTCAGAGCTAAGAGGATGAGCTGCTACAGCTTCGCCTAAAGTCTGGCTGAGACAGCTAATTGGCTGGTGTCTGTGCAGACCAGGTGCAGAGGCAAGCTTAACACACACTGAAAACAATGGCCACATCCAGGCCAAGGCTGAAGGTGTTTGGAATTAGCTCATTATGCAGATGCAGGCCAATTTCAAAATGAGAATCGAGATGCGGGTTCACCAGGTGGAACTTCTTCCCTGGTGCCTGGAGAGACTTGGATGGAGGTTCTAGTTCTGGTCCTTCTCTATAGCAAGAAGCCTCCGCTAAGTGCTGGGGGTGGGAGAGGGGATAGCTCAGTGGTTTGAGCATCAGTGTGCTAAACCCAGGGTTGTGAGTTCAATCCTTGTGGAGGCCATTTAGGGATTTGGGGCAAAAGTTTGTCAGGGATGTTACTTGGTCCTGCTGTGAAGGCAGGGGACTGGACTCAATGACCTTTCAAGGTCCCTTCCAGTTCTAAGAGATAGGCAATCTCCATTATATATATATAAAAAAAGTTTGCTTGGGGCTACTAAGGTGCTCCAAATTGCATGGGCTTTTGCAGACATGTCTTGACATTCATTGGTGGTGGGCTAAGGAAGCTTGCTCCATCACTGATGGTTCTGTGCCTGTTCAGGAGTTCCAGAAAGGATTATCCCATCTGGAGATCAATCCAACCAACGCTTTTCATGAGTCCGAGACTAACTTTCAAAGTAAAATAACAACAAACAAACACCCTTTAAAAGTCCATTCCTCAGCAGCTCTGTTGACAGGCTGTATAATGTACAATTTCAGAATTTTCCCTCAGGGCTGCAGTCAGGATAACTGTGGTTATCGATATTGATACTATTTCATACAGATACATCTTTGTCTCCATATGAGCACTGCATTTATTATCCCCTCATCTAGTGGTAAATAACATCTATTGCTTTTGTTCAAAGCCAATCAGTGGAATTTTACAGATCATAACAACAGAGACTCTGGTCATGGTATGTAATTAAACCCATTATTATTTCATATTAAATGGATTATGTGCTACTGTTTTTCTGCACATACAGAGAAAGCGAACAGACTATCTCCGTTCTACACCAGTACACTACAGCCACAAATTATCCCCATATGATAGAGAAAAGTCTGAGGTCCTCAGCCTATATAGATCTATTTAGCTCCATTTGAGACTCATATCTGTGAATAAAAATTTCTTCTGTTTTTTTTTTTTAAATTATCAAGGTCTGTTCTACACACAGATTTTGCAGTTTTTCAGTTAGGAGGGGGATTTTTTTTTACCAAAATGCTTATACGTGTACAACTCCCTCCCTAGTGTGGAGGCACTTTGACTGGTACATGTGCAGTGTGCTTTTTGTCTTTATGCAGAAATGGACTGGCATAGCATTGCGGAACAACTTTTCTGCCATCACCGTTCTGCAATAACTCCCCACGTGTACACTGTAGCTATGTCTAGACTGCAGGCTTCTTTCGGAAGAAGCTTGTCTGGAAGAGATCTTCCGAAAAAGCTGCTTCCAAACCAGCACGTCCACACTGCCAAAGCGCATCGAAAAAGCCATCTGCTTTTTCGAAAGATAGCATCCACACTGAATGGATGCTATCTCACATTTAAACTGTGATTACTACGGACGGAGTGGCTACCAGGGCAGCTGCGCTTTTTCCTCTTTCCTCTTCTTCCAAAAGAACTCCCTTTTCCCCGTCCACACACACCTTTTTCCAAAAGAGCTCTTTCGGAAAAAAGCTTCTTCCTCGTAGAAAGAGGATTACCAATGTCAGAAAAAATGCTCTGTTCTTTCAATTTTCTTTTCAAAGAATGTGATTGCAGTGTGGACATAATTAAAGTTTTTTTTCCCAAAAAACAGCCATTTTTCCAAAAAATCTCTAGTGTAGACATACCCTCCATTTCAAAAGGAATCTGACTTTATTCTGGAATAATCACTCCACTTAGGAGGCAGAGGAAATACCCTAGAATGAAAGTGATTTAATTCTGGCATGGAGTGTCCATGCAGGGAAGTTATATCAAAATAGTGAAATGATTCTGGAAAAATTTAGGAGGAAATATGGGGAGATATTTCCCATGGGTCGACAAAGATCTCAGAGCACTATTGCTTATTCCCCTTCCTGTGTGGTGGTATCAGCACTCTCACACCTGGGGGCTTGTTCTGCTTTAGCTGTATTGGAATACGTAAGGCAGTGCAGCTTCTGTGTGGACACAAGGCTTTCCTTGATGTGGTGGGACAGCTTGTGTGGTCCAGTGAGCCTGAAAGTGATGCCAGCCAGAGAGTAAACTCCTGTCCATGGTGGGCAGGTCAAAGGGCAGTGAGCAGGTGAAGAGCAGCCCAAGCTGGGGTTTGTGCAATAGGATAAGCGCCTGTCCTTATGAAAAAGCCGACTTAGAGAAAGCCAGCTAGGTGACCGTTCTGACAGGGCCAGGACGGCAGGGCCTTGCTCGTGTCCTTAGCGACGTCTGACGGCGCGGGGAAGGATTCGCATTCCGACGGCCTTAGATGCCCTTTGCTTCCCTCTGGCTGTGCTATAAAACTGCACGCCTGGCTGCGTGTCTTGTGTCGAGAAAAGAATGCGGCGGCGTCGCCAGTGCGGCTCTCTCCCTGAGACGGCTGGGCCTGCACTGTGGAATAGCATAGTCCTTTCTGCCGGCCCCGCCGGCCTGCCCGCGCGGCTGTCTCGCTCGGCCTGGCTTGCCTTCTTCCCCGCTAGACTCCAGGGCCGAACGCTTGGCTCTGTGTGCATGTGTGTGTCTGTCTCGCTCTTGGTGAGGAGAAACGCATGCGTACAGCTCCCCGCTCCACTCCTCCACCAGCCTCGCTGCAGGAAACCAGCTGCTGCTGGCCTGCATTAGGGGAGCTGAGCGGGTTAAACTGTGGGCTTGTGGGGGGGGGTGAGACATCTCAGGGTGAGAAGTGAGAATTCCTCACAGTCTGTCTGACAGCTATAAAACCGACTAAAGCCGACTTGGGAAAGCCACTAGGCAGCTACTCTTAGCTGGAAACCCAGTCTCTTTGGCTGCCCTTTGAAGTTTGAGGAGAGAGGGAGGGAGGGAGGGAGAGAGAGAGAGTGTGTGTATCTGCAACTCCTGCTCCTCCTTTTGCTGCTGCTGCTGCTGCTGCTCACTCTTCCCCCCACACACAAGCCTTTGCACCTGGTGTCTGGAGCATCTTCAGCCTTAAAACAAACCCCTTGCACCTTGCTGGCACTTCCCCATTTTTCAAGGTATGGCTTATTTATTGTACTTTCGTGGCAATGATCCCCAAGGTTTTAAATATATTGATTTAGAAGAAGAAGAAAAAGAAAAAGGAACCAAAATGAGAAAAGACAATTCTCCCTCCCCCCTCCCCCCCAACTAAGCAAAAACTGCTGAAGTGCCAGAAAAGTTACCAGCCCCTTTCGGTTCAGAGGGGTTGCTCTCCCCACCTGGACTCCTTGCTGTGGAGCTAGATTAGACTTGGTGGGAGTCATGTTCTGTGTCAGGAGACAGTTATATAACCTGGTAGGATTATTGGATGGGAAAGACCTTAAAGCTGTCTGTCTGCCTTGCTATTAGGACACTGGATTCTCTCCTGTCCACAGACTCATTGATTGCCCTTTGGTTTTTGATCGATTTTTATTTTAGTTGGGGTGTTCTCTCCTACTCTGCCCCCCTAAAGACTGAGGGTAGTGTTTTGACGGGTTTTTTTTTTTTGACTGAACAAAGGATAACACCCGAGCAAGTTGTTTTATTGGCTTTGGACCAGCAGTGTCTGGAAGTCTTAATGAAAACCAAGTGTAAGGCAAGTCTCAGCCACCTGTCCCTGGGACTCACAGCCAAGAACTCTGGGCTTCAGTTAATGGACTTTAAGCTTTGAAAACCATCTTCAGCATATTAAGTGAATACTCAAGGGAGGTGGGAGGGGGAAGGGATAAGAAAACTAGTTGATGATCCCTTTAAATCAGACACTAGCCACATTTCTGATGCATTTACCACTAGGGCCACGGTCCTAAAACAGCTACAGAAGCTCAGGTGGAGAAAGGGGGACTAGTTTAAAGGGGTGAAAGAGGGACATTTTTATGCTCCAGACCTGATGGCAATCTTTTTCCCCCCTCCCCAAGGGCTGTCTGGGTCTTACTTACCTTCCCACTTTATTGAATATTTACTTTTATGGGGAAGTCTAGTGCTAGGAGAGAGGTTTTCCCTCTCAGACATGTGGTGCTTTCATAGCTTTGAACCTGAAACTTTGCTCATCTCTGTCTCCTACAGTGGGGTTTCACTTTACTCTAGTGAACTATATTGCACTGCATTTTCTTTAAAGTCATGTCATTCAGGGTTGCTGGTTTTTCTTTTACCCTTCCTTCCAGAGCTGTAGGGGACAGAAATGAAAGGCTGACATTTATTGTTTAAAAAAACTTTAGAGGATTTCTTTGCAAAGGAACAGATTTTTCC